GACTAAGCTTCCACTGGATCTCGGTCTAGAGGAGGAGCACCAAATTTCAAATTGTCGTCATTCGTGAGCGCCTAATTTCTCCAAGCATGTCCACCATTCTGAAACTGTTGGAGTCATGTCCAATGACTTTGTCTTATGACGTGACTGAGCTACCACTGGATCTCGGTCCNTGAAACTGTTGGAGTCATGTCCAATGACTTTGTCTTATGACGTGACTGAGCTACCACTGGATCTCGGTCCAGAGGGGAAGCACCAAATTTCAAATTATCGTCATTCGTGAGAGCCTAATTTCTCCAAGCATGTCCACCATTCCGAGACTGCTGGAGTCATGTCCAATGACCCTGCCTCTTGACACAACTGAGCCTCTTAAAAACTTGACTGCACGTGGAGCACCAAAATTTTGGTTTGTCTCACTGAATAGTACCTAATTTGGGGAATTCACCGTACCCATATGCTTACCCCCCACTACACTTCTTTCATCCACATCGGTTCCTTTCAAACCGTTCTGTTTTTGTAAAAAAAAAACATTTTTCTGAAGTTTTCTCTCCAGTATCCGAAAGCACGTAAAAAGCGCCTTATTATCCCCTAGGTTTGATTTTTTTAATCGTTTTTCCCCCACTTTTCTCCCTAAATTGATGCTCGTATTTAAAAAACGCAATTTTTGAAAATTCTATTAGAGCACGAAAAAAAAATTGGGCACCAAAACAGCGCCTAAATAGTGCCTATATTTTGCATATATTTTGGTCCCGATTGAAGCACCTAAGACTGCCAACTTGACGGACCTGCCGCCGGTACGGGGTCACCCCGAAAAGGTTACTGGCTTAAACGAAAATCTTCGATGTTGTTCTTGTGACGCATCTCTCACACGAGGGAGAAAACTCTTGTTGAAACATTCATTATCAGAGAGGCCACAAAATGAAGGAGCGTTTGCATATTTTCAAAATAAAACTGCTTCACAAAAGAAGCTTTCTATATCTAAGGATGAATCTGTTTGTCACCGATGTTGGGTTAGATTTCTTCGAAATAAAGGAGCAAAATCCGATAGTCCATCAGATACAGAAGAGGAAGACTCACAACACGAAGGTGCTGTACACCTTGATGTGGGAAGAGCATCAGGTGGGTAAAAAAGATGTGTTTTCGGATGTGATGGATCTGGACGATTCCGTGTCACAAACGAAACGAGAGCTCAGGTATTACGAGATTTCAAAATCTTCATCCCAGAATTATCTAGGGTTTGTGTTAATCACAACAAGTTCCACTGGGACGATGTTCCAAATGAAATTATCAATATATTTACAGCAAAACACGTCAACGATATGGTGAACTTATTCCAGGGATTGGTTAGTAGAGAGAGAACAAACGTTATTAACTTTGATTTCTTCGAAAGTCTTGATGACGAAGTTGTTCGTCATTGTACAGGGTTGAAGAAAAATCAGTTTGAACGATTACTACAGCTACTTCCTTCTCTCAAAAATAGTGAAAAACGTCATCCGGAAACTACTCTTGCGATCTACTTATGCAAGCTGCGAACAGGACACACAGATGGACATTTAGCGTACGTATTTGTCAATGGGTCATATTCTTACCGATACATATTCTTACCGAACTTCTTAACAAAGCAAGATATGCCTTCGGAAGAGACTTTACACCCCAACACCTAGGATTTGAACATCTATCACGAGCAGAAATATCTGAAAAACGCACCCCTATGTCTTGCAATCTTCTGCTGAAGAATCAGTCACCATCTCTCATTACTATCTGGGATTGTACCTATATTTACGTTCATAAGAGCAGAAATAATACTTTCCACTATATAGGCTATAGTAAGTACAAATTGCGACCACTTGTTAAACCGATGATTTGTGTTACACCAAATGGTTATATTATTGATGTAATTGGACCTTTTCCAGCAACAGAGAACGACGCTAGTATACTGATGACAATTCTAGAAAACATGCCTCAAGTCAAGTCGAAGTTCAAAGCAGGCGATGTCTTTGTTGTCGACAGGGGTTTCCGAGATGTAATTACTTATCTACAAAACAAAGGATTTTTAGATAAAATTCCAGAAATGATACCTGCAGGGGAAAGTCAGTTAAGTGACTTGAGTGCAAACCGCTCACGATTCGTAACGAAGATCAGATATGTCATAGAAACCATTAATAGTCACCTTAAAACATGTTTTCAATATTTTGATCAAGTCTGGCATACTCCTTCCCTACCCCATTTAATGACTGATTTACGGAACGCAGCAGCTATGCATAATGTTTTTTATCCTGACCTTATTTCTGACATTACGGATGCTAATGAAATCTCACAGCTGATGATATCTAAGTTAGATAAAAGGAATACACTTGGACAGATCGTTAAGGAATATAATCTCAATCGAAAAACAAGTCGATTTCATTCCATCACCGATACACAGCTTCAAGATTTCCCCATTCTAGCAGAAAAGGATCTGTATCTAATAGCTTTAGGTAATTATCAATTGAAACAAGCAAGATGCTATTATGGCGAGCATATTTCTGCGGATGGCAGGTTTACAATTGAGCTATGTAGAGATGTAACCTACATTGATTTTGCATCTTACGGTCTGCATATCACTCACCCGATATTTCTGAAGGCTAGAATTCAGTCACGACACGTCAATAGAACAAGATATTACATTTATATCTGAGTAGATAAAAAGATCGAAGGAAGCATACTACTGTACATGTAAAAATGGTGCCCGTACTGTGGGATGTTGTGCACATATTCTAACAATGATTTGGTACCTGGGTTATGCTAAACATCAAGAGAAACGACTGAAGCCACCGTCTGAAGACACAGAAAATATTTTTATAATGTTTGGCTCCTCTGATGAAGAGTCCGTTTCCTGCGAACTGTGATTAACTATACCTCATAACGCGCACACGCTCACAGATTAAATTATTTTTTTTGCTGTTATCCTCGGCCAGTACTATACATTGCTATACAAATCATTGGTCTACATCAGGGGCCCAATTTGCGACAAGGTTCTTTCATACATCATTAGGAAAACTGAGTTTTTTCACACACCTGCACGGAAAGTTCCTACTTTCCTGCCGCTCATCAAAGAGCAAAATACGAACTTTCCGTTGCTAGGCGTGTTAAAAAATAGCATATACACCTCAGGCGGGAAAACATGACTTTCCGCCCTTGATGCACAATATACTATTTTTCATCTCTGAGGAGCAGTCCATCATTTTCTAGAAAATGCGAGAAACCTCCAGAAAGTTGCGAAAATTTATATAACATTCTGCGTTTCACCCCCTCAGGGGTTGATTTTCAAAAAAAAAAAACACGTTCCTATTAATTTGAATAAAATGAATTTTCAAGTCTCTAACTTCAGCGGTTTTCGAAATCGCCTAAAAATATTTGCCCCTTTTTCACCCACTTAGGGGATGAATTTCCTGAAACCTTTTGTTAGTGGGTGTTTACGTCATTGACGGAAGCTGTAAGCAAAACCTCATGGTCGTAGCTCTAGGAATTCCGGCTGTGCGTTGATATCTAAGCCCCGTGAAAACACGCTTCCCCTTCATATATGAGATGGATAATCATTCTTCAATCAATTTTTTTTATTGATTCCAATGTCTTCTCTCGATACTAACCATATATGTATACTATACCATATATGATTACATTGCAACGTTTTGGGAAGTCATGTTAATATTTTACCTCTTTCTTGAATCAGCAATAGGGGATGAACCATAACTGGAGAACAAATTTTTTCACACCTCGTTGAACATTGAATTATGATGATAATGAACGATGTGAGAGGAGAACATGAGTACATTTCACAAAAATTTCTTCAATTTCAAAAAAGGTGTTCTGTTATTGTTTCAAAAAATATCATGGGAAGAATTAACAATGACAGATTTTACTCATTAAGTTTCACTATTTCTTTATCTTTATCACTATTTCTAATCTATTATCTTTACAAATTCATCAAATATACCCTAAAGTCATACTCAACATAGAAAAACACTATGCAATAATTTCTATTCTTTAATCTCTCAATGCGAATCGATAAATCTATGTTAGCTCTAAAACGGAGAATCGATATTGAATGTTTTCGAGATTCGTTTTGAAGTAATGAAGCGTCCGCTATCCTCAAGTACACAAATTTTCCCGCTTTGGCAAGGGGTATCGATATCGAAGGTACCCCCGAAAATGATGGGTCTGTAGGGCAAGCCTCTCAAACTCGATGGCTGGATGTTATTAGACCACGCATCAACAGTATCACAAATAAGGTCTTTTCTCCTTACTTGAGGAGCGACTCTGATTGAACCTTTCGCTTCAAAGTCACAATATTTTTCGAGAGTTTCCTTTTCCCCATAATGTTCAATAGGAACAAGATTTGATCCAAGTTCGAGGGATTTGGGATGCAGTAATGAATCGATTCTCAATTGGCTAAACTGAATATCTAAATCAGTTGTGTGTTCACTCATTTTTGCCCTAATGTCAGGTTCTTCTCGCAAATTCGCAGCTACATCATTTGCTTCCAAATCTTCATCGTCCTCTAGATTTTCGTCATCTCCTTCTCCATCGAGTTCAATTGAATTAATAGGATCAGCATTTCCATCATCATTATCGTCATGGGCTTTGATCTTCGGTTTACATTTCAAGAATTCCGGTGGATGAGCTGGCGGTGGCGCCAAGTACTTAGAATCAATTTTCTTGCATTTACTGACTAAAAATTTCTTCTTATTCATTACATTTGGATACGAAGCAATAATCTTCGGATACTTGATAGTCTTTTTAGAATCCCCCGATACTCCATTTGTCAAATTAGCAATAACCTCGAGGGGATATAAATAGGGAACTTTCATCCCTGTATCATTCTGCATGTCTAACCAGCCATTAATAATTGAACTGTTTTTAGAGCCTGTTTTACGACGTCGTAATATATTGACACGATCGGGTCTCGAGAAGTTCCATTCATCATGATAATTATAATCCGATGGAAAAATGTGACTACTTACGTCGGGCGTTGCTGAACTGTCCACTTTTTCCGACTGATGGTGTACGAGAGCATAAATAAAGAATTGAATAAGTTGAATTACCAGGAAAGAATAGTTTGATGAATGACAATCATCCCGCAAAAGAATAATTTTGAGAAAAAAATGACAGGAACCCTTGTTAATCAAGTGAATTTCTAATAAAAAATATCAAAAATATACAATGTCAAAAACGTACATGCGCAAATTTGCCAATTCTGTGTACGAAAAAATGCCTCAAAATTTTAAAAGTTTTTTTCTATTTTTATATCAGGAAGTATAGTCCAAAGGGGGCAAAATAAGCGCAAACGGAGTGCTCTAATTGAATTATTGGCAGAGATATTGAAGATTGATTTTTTTCTTCTACAAACTTTTTTTTCAATTCTAATTACGAGCCACTAAGAGTAACAAAAAAAAAATTTGAATGCATAGATTTTGTCCGAAATTGTCTCAGCTTTTCGAGAAAAATATTGTTTTCAATGTATCTATGTATTTTGCCCTGAAAAACTAACAAAAAGCTTCAAACGGTCATTTGGAGTCGTTCCCCACCCTTTTTTTTTCATCGGAAAGTTCATAAAATTTCCTGACACCAACATATTTTTAATTTTGGTGCTTTCACAAACTCGGAGGTAAAAATGTAATGAAACTTTCGAATTAACATCTTGAATTTATTTTATCCTGTATTAACTTTGTGTTACTCGTTGCTCAGCATCCAGGATTCTAAATAAAAATTAGAGTACAGGTCCAACGTGTCCATTCATTCTTAAAATTTTCCGGATTTGAGAGATTTGTTCTCAATTTCTAATTTTTCCTGCCGTAAATTCCCAGGATTCTGGGAGATTCCTTCAATTCCACGATGTTTCGGTATTCTCGGCTCTTCTTCGAATAATCAGCCATGGTTTGGATAATTTATCGATAGAGATAAATTACGTGTCAACGTCGCCGGATGTTTTGGATGGTAGGGACGGTTTGCGGCGATCGCCCCAAGACTCAGTAATTGACTAATAAATCCCTTTTGATTCGGATTTTTAAAGAAAAGTCGTGAGGAAACTATTCTGTCTTCGTCAAGTTTCTAAATATTCGAGCAAATTCTTTATTTGCCCAAGATTATTTTATTCGGAAAATAACATAAGCTGTTATTGGTTGCTGTAGTTCTGGATATGTCCATGTAATTCAAGTTTCATAATAAATAAGCAGTAACATCTCAAATTTCAAATGTGAAAGATGTTCGAGAATAAAATATTGAGTTCTAGAATGATTGAACATATCATAATGTGACGCTTGATCAACACAACACTTCCTTCTCCAGTAGAATTCCCTTGATTTTCCCGGTTTGAGCCGTGAATGTCTCTCTCTCCACCTCACCTTCACCCCCTCTCGCGCACTCGCCCCCTCTCTATCTCTCTCCCTCTCTCTTCCTCCCACCCTCACCCTCTCCCTCCCTCGCGCTTCCTCCCACCCTCTCCCTCTCTCTCCCGCTCTCACCCTCCCTCTCCCTCTCTGTCTCTCTCTCTCTCTCTCTCTCTCTCTCTCTC